TTCCTGGAGGTGGGCAGGAGGTGAAAGGGTGGTACAGCCAGAGCCATCCATGGACACTCTGGGCTGGAGGGAAGGATTCCTGGGGTTTGTTTCCCATGAAATCAAACCTCAATGCTGCAAGTAGATGTAGCTAACACAATCCCAAGTCCTCCCACTCAAGGCTACCAAAAGAAAGCAGCCAAGCCGTGCTGGTTATCCTCAGACAATCCAGAAGAGGAGGAGGAAATCAGTTGTCCAAGGACTCCTCAAGTCTGGAGCAGAAACTTCCCAGTGCAGCCACTTGCCCCACTCACACACCTGGAGTGAAGCAAACCTGTGGCAATAATCAGAGCTTTCTACAGCAAGTACATAATGAAGTATTCTCCTGCACTTTGTTTTGGAGCCAAAGTTCTAGTTTTGGGACACATCCTCCCCCTGAGCACACCTCAGGGGGAGAGCTCTGTGTCTGTGTCAGAATTCCTGTGTTCTCCTCTCCTCTGCACAGAGCAATGACTGAGAGCAGCTGCTCCTGCAGCCATTTCTCCACACAGAACTCCTGCTGTTTTCCTTCCAGCTGTATAATCCCAGAGACTTTCCAGGAAGGCCAGAAGGGTTCAGCACATGCTTTTAGCTCTGTGAGCATCTGTGAGCAACCACTCACAGATATTTCACCCCAGGACTCTCCCAGCTCTGAGCTCTCAGCCCAAAGCTCAGGGTCAGAGCTGAGAGATTCCACTGAGCTGCTCATTAACCCTCCCTGCCTTGGTCTGTCCTGATATGCTGCACAGAGCTCTCATTAACTGCCACAGCCACACAGAGCCAGGCAAACCCTCAATCAGCTCAGCACCACCAATATCCAAATGGATTGCTAAACACATCCTCCCTCTGCTCTGCCATGGCTGAGTCACTGCCCACATGCCCCAAGTGAACTGTCTGGGCTGTTTCCAGCACTAAACACCATTGAGAGCTGCTGTTCCTTGGGGGATCACGTCTGGAACAAGTTGTCTTTTCCATTTCCATAGCAGCAGGAAGAGGAAATTCAGCTTCACAAGCTGAGAAAGAGGTAAGAGGTGTAAGGGAAGAGCACTGCAACCTGCCCCAGCCCCACAGCATCACTTCTGAGCATCATCAAGTCACACCAACACCAAAGTTTTAGAGAAACATTTATTACAGGGTTGCAGAATTTATGCCAATATAAAGTCCCTTAATAAAACTCTCGAGTTTATCAACTGCAGGACACTACCTCTTCATTATCTTTACACTGCAGCTTTCAAAAGGAAAGGAACAATGCTCTGACTGCAGCAGTAATGCCACTTGCTCATAAAAAGTTGATCTAAAAAGTGTATATAAGCCCAAGTAGTTTCAGGTTACAACTACAGTCACATTCACGAGTGAGCTAGAGCAGAACAAGATCCTGGAAATACGAAGTTAACAGGATAACCCAATCCATAACTCAAAATACTGACAAGCTTTAAAGAGCAACTCTACCCGAACCTAACAACCTAAAGAGCACAAAAGCAAAGTGAGGGCGAAGAACTCAAGGTAAGCTGGGGGAAGGTTCCAAATATACATACGGATTCCATACAGTAATTGCACAAAAAGAAAGAGGAGTAGTGTTAGAGGGTTGTGATCACTGAGGTTGGATTTTACATGCTGCACACATGGCTGTTAGAAGAAACCTTTAGTGACAGATCAGGAGGTTCCGAGCCTGGCTAAGGAGTGCAGAGCTATCCTACACAACTACACAAAATGTGCAAACCACGGGTTATTCATCCTGTGAGAGTTAAGGTGAACAGAACTGGTTCCAGCCAAGGAACTGGTTAACTTTGAGATATATATATATATAGATATATATATATATACCATTCTGCCATTCCCAGATTACACTAAATCAAACACATTCAACAGATAAACTGGTAGTAGCCTTCTAAAAAAAACCAAAAGACAAACCTTACTCAAATTGAAGTTTTACATGAGACAACTAAAAAGTTATACCAAGGATCAAGAAAAGCTGAAATGGTGACTTTGTCTTTTTGAAATACAAGCAATACACAGAAAATGCATAAGGCTTTGATTATCACTGCACATTTTAATCTCAGAAGTCGATGTGTGTAATGCTCAGACTTCTCACTGAAGGGGTGAGCTGGTCACCTCTCACTGCTGACAGATCTTTGTTTCCACAACGAAAGAGTTTTCAAAGTGCCTGATGGAATGGCAGTTCTCCACAGCACGTTTCTGCACACCTGGGGGAGAGGAGAGAGAGCCTCAGTGAAGCACACCCACAGCCCAGCAACAAGGAGCCACAGCTCTGCATCACTACAACCAGCAGAGAGACACAGTGGGTCGGGACACTGTGTCTCCTCAGCCAGGAATTGCCTCCACAGTCTTTCTTCCAGCAGCAATCCCTCACCCCTGTGCATCAGCTCCTGCAGAGCTACCTTCACCTTGTGCCAGCCCTGGGAGGATTTTCTACTCAGTGATGGCCTCAGTCTAGTTTTTCCTAACACTACTGAAGTGATTTTCTCTATTCTGGGCCTGGGTCTGACCCAGGCAGTGCACCTTTGTCAGCTGTGGCTCTTTGCCAGGAGCCAAGGCACAGCAGTTCCACAGTCCAAGACAAGCTGCTCTCCTACATCAACTCACAACGATTAAGGGAAGATTTACAGCTTGTTTAACAAGCAGAATTGTTCAGAATAAGCAAGAGGAGCACAGGTTCTTAATGAACCCAGCAGGGCACTGCCGCAGTTTACAAACACTTAGCATACAGGCTGTGCTTCCATCCCAAGGTGTCAGGATGGAGATGGAGTTTCCACTGCCTATTTAACAGGATGAGCTCTCAGGTTTCTCCTGTGCCTTCAGGTTACAACCCCAGGAAACTGCTGCAGAACCTGAGGTCAGTTTGATCTCAGATGAACTTATGAACTCTGCAAAATCTGAGTGCCAAAGCAGCAGCAGCTGAGTGAGAGAAGTTCTGCACAGAAGCTACAGGAGTTTCTCCACTTCAGCCTCACCGATGTGCACATGGTTGGGACACACTGGAGGAAAGTTGTGCTGGAAATGTGACTGGGGAAGCAAAACAAGCCTTGTCCCTGAACGATTTGCCCCTCAGCAGCAGTTTTGTGTCTGAGGAGACTTCCCCTCTCCCAGACAAGGAGAGCTGCAGCACAGCAGCTGGACAAGAAACATTATTCATTTACAACCATCCTTTTGGGCAAGAACTGTGGAGAAATCTCTTACAATGCAGCAAAGATGTCAACAACATCCTGGAACAAGATGATTTAAGGGAACATCATAAACACTCTTTGCAGTACTATCTGCAGACTTTGAGTCACAGCAGCTGGCAGCTCCCAAAATCCTCCTCCAACAGCTCTGACACAAACCTCTCCCTCCCATTTAGTGTCTCTTCCTGTGCCCTACACTGTTAGCCACAGTCACATTTCTGCTCCCTCACACAGAGCCTTTCCTCCATCTAACAACAGGATGTCCTCTCCAGCAAGCAGCACATGTGGCTCCTGATGCTGCAACTGGGCTGAGGAAACTCTTGCCTAAGAGCTTGGCAGAAAAACCAGAGCAGAGAGTTCTAACAAACCAAACATTTGCATTCTGAAAGGCTCTAACTGACAAAGGATTAGCTCTCTGTGGGTTTGGTGGCAGCAGCAGATACGAAATGCTTTGAGAGCTACAGTGAGGCAAAATTGATAGCATCAGATTTCTGCCTCCCCAGGGCTTCCAGCAGGTCACAGCACTGACACCTCGGCTCAATCCCCTTCCCAGCATGGCAGGGGGTGGCACGAAATGGACAGAGAGCTCAGCAGTTCCCTGAGTGTTCTTCCTCTTCCAGAGAGGAAGTCTGGAATGTCCAGAGCTCACTGCTCAATCACTCTGTTTTCCAGAGCAAGTGAAACAGGAGAGAATGTTTTACTTGCTGCTCCTGTAACCCAGTTTTAGATAGGACAGTGACAGATTAAGCTGCACCTGGAGAGACTCAACATTATCAGGTGAATTATATGACTTCTGGGGCCAAACTAACTTGCAATATCAACCCAAAGATGGAACAGAAGTAGGGCTTAAAATCAGATTTGGTTTGGGCATGTCACCTCTAGTGCTGCAACTGAAACTCTCTCAGGTGTTCAAATGACACTTCACACACGTATCAAAGTAGAGGAAATACCTATCAGGAGTAGTTTCAGCTCATGTGGAACACTCAGACTGCCAAGGTTTAAGGATCTAACCTTTCCCTGCTGGAACAATACTAAGGGAACTTACCCATTATCTGGTCTCTGCGCTGCAGCCTGAAGGTTTCTTTCCCCACACACAGTTGGTAGATGAAGATTCCCAAGTCAGACACATTATCTATCTCCTCTGTAACCACCATTTCCTCACGGACCAGGTAAGTCTGAGGCAAGTAGGAGCCAGTCTGAAAGAGAAAAAACCTGGATACAGACTTTGCTAACAACGGCCAAAGCAGCACATTTTGCTTTTTGCTTTGGGAGATTTTCAGGCAGCAGATTGCCGCTTTCCTTCTTTTTCATACAAAGATATGCTGAGCATGAGCTGCTGCATCCCAAGGACATTAGAAACTGACAAAGGCCATAAAAACAGTTGTAGTTACAACCAAAGAAAGAACAGTAAACCTCAGCACTGAAGGAAACATAATTGAACCTGTTCAGGTTCCTTTGGACACAGAGTTTGCAGTTAAAAGGAAAGCAAAGGGTTGTGAAAGATTTCAGGTCTGGGGCAATGTATTTCTAATACAATAAAAGCAACCTCCAAAAGGCTTCACCAGATGCTCCCACACAACTGGAACAGCTTCCCACCCCTCGTGGCCAACTCTTAAAATCAGGGGCAGGAAGAGCTTGTCTTCATGGAGTTAAAGTAACACAATAAGCTAAACCAGACCAGTGGCCTCCAGCACCAGGTGAGGAGAAGTCCATGACTAAAAGTCCATTTGCCACACAACAGCTCAGTCTTGCATTTAATTTGCAAGTAGCAGCAAGCTCTGTCAACTTGACCCATAAGTCATCTCTGGTTTTGGTCACTGAAGGGTGGAAATGCATGTGGTGAGATCCTCACTGCAGAGCCAACAACCCAGGGGAACAGGTTAGCACTGTTCTGTTCACCAAACTCTCCCAGGGTGAGGGAGAGTAACTTCCAGGTTTAGGCTTTCAATGATATTTGGAGCTTGATCAAATTCCTTTCGAACAGCTAAATTTAACCTTATCTGCTGGTTGCTTTCAGCTCCCATAAAGCTAGGTATTAATAAGAGCATTAGGCATGAATCTACTCAACATAATATACACTGACAGCTGGCCTCAACCTCAGTGCAGCCACTGAGCCCAGGGATTAGGGACTTGGATGGCAGGAGGACTGTTCTAGCAGGAGCCTGCGGTTCAGGAGCAACCCCCAGCCCTTAGCAAAAGCATCTTGTCAGCAGAAGTGAGCAGCACAGCCCGCACATACTGCCAGCTTGGCAAAGAGATCCATCAGGTTCCTTGGTGGCATCACTATGGAGGTGTTCAGAGGGATCACGTAGCAGTTGCCCAGCTGCAAGTCCAAATATGCTGTCAGGAGCTGGTTGGAAAAAACAAGATTTCGGTTAATTAAGGGGGACTTTGATTATGAGAGCACAGTCTTACAAGGAACAAGAATAGCTAAAAAAGCTGGAATCATAAAATCGTAGAGTCATAGAATGTTGAGGGGTTGGGATGGAGCTTAGAGATGATCCAGCCCCAACCCCTGCCCTGGGCAGGGACACCTCCCACCAGAGCAAGTTGCTCAAGGCTCAGCCAACCTGGCTGTGAACACTGCCAGGGTTGGGGCAGCCACAGCGTCCCTGGGCAACCTGGGACAGTGTCTCACCACCCTCACAGGGAAAACTTCTGCCTCACATCTAACCTCAATTTCCCTCCTTCAATTTCTCCCCATTATTCCTTGTCCTATGACTTCCTGAGGAAGCAGCACAGCTACTCCAAAGCAATGACTCAGGAACTGTCTAGGGTGAGAACCCAACTGTTACCACTTTGGCAAACCAAGTGGTTACAGCAATAGTTTACAAAGCTTTTGTGCACAAGGAGGAGCTGACTATAAAAGCAGTTTCTATCCTAATTCTAAAGAATACAGTTGGTACGAACACAGAGGAAGCACTTGGGAGCTTGCTCTCATCCCTGAAGATGTCCAGTTCAGCACAGTGCAAACCAAAGGTCTCCAGCTGCTAAGAAACAACCATTCCCTGTAAACAGTGCTTCAGGAAAAGTACCAGTCCCTAGCTGAACACATCAGCACTGAGCACAAGAACTGCAGAGACTAAAGTTATCAACATATCTACTCATTTCATGATGACTTTGCACAGCTCTTAGCCAGAGCCAACTAGAGCTCTTTGGTTCCCCGAATGCTTTCAGTTACAGCCAAGTTTCTGTCAAGACACAGGGATAAAAGCTGCAAACAGTGTGAGCATGGGCAGCCCAGCCTGGCTGTGTGACCCTGCAGGGTAAAGGCAGCAGGGGCAGGAGTCAGCTCTAGTGTCTTTACCATGCTTAGATCTGTAATCCCAAGGTTATCTTTACAACCTACAAGAGCTTTTACAGCTGACTAAGGATAAATGCTAATACCATTGACACCACTTTAATACAAGAGTCACATTAAGGCCATTCTCTCATCTTTGCTCTACAGAAATTCCATGCAACGAACACAGCACTGCTGGTTCTAGGGCTCAGCCGCTTCAAGTCATTTTCCAATTCCACATTTTGCTGTAAGAGTCTGCAAAATCTTAGACTGAATCCTCAGCTCCTTAACTCACATTTACCATGTTCTCACTGCCATCCACATGGGATTCTTGACCAAACAGCAAGTGGCACTTCCAAACATCCCATGAGCAACAATGTTTACGGCTGCACAGCACCAAAATGCCTTTTCCCGAAAATCAGTCCAGTTAGAGGAGTTCATACCCACAGTGACTCTGACATCCTTGCAGAGCTTAATCCTATTAGCACAGAGTTCAAATGGTCACATCTCCACACTTAACCCACCCCAAAGGCAAGCTGCATTGACAGGGAGCTTAAAGGCCTCCAGAATGAAGAAAGCTCTCTCAGGCACTGGGATACTGCCCAGGGAGGTGGTGGAGTCACCATGCCTGGAGGTGCTTAAGAGGTGTCTGCACCTGGCATTGGGTGCTGTGGGTTAGTGGTTAGGGGTTCAGTGGTAGTGCTGCTAGACAGTTGGACCTGAAGATCTTAAAAGTCTCTTCAAACTCTGATTACTCTATGAAATCCTGGGAGGTGTTAAGATGCAAACCCCCTGCAGTCACCCACCCCAGACCTGGAATCATAGAACCATCAAGGTT